CAAATAAATTACTCAGTCGTTGGGTGCTTGATGGGGTAGCGATATCGGACGTATTTTAAGGTCGGCAGGTTGAGATATTTTTATATATCGTCATCACAATTTTTCACAGCTTCCTGGATCTCCTTAGATTTGTGGACTTTTGGTAATCCATAGAAATTACTGGATTTCAATTCAAAGATAGAAAAGAAATCAATTTCATTTTTTGTTAAATTGTCGGCATATTTTTTAGTTAATTTCTCAACCTTGAGCATTGTGTGACGATCTTCGTTAGTGGTTAATTTTCTATAAATATGACAGTTCTGAAGTTCGTTCAGTACCATTTACCTCATATATATTATATATAGCTAGACTATCAGGCAGGGATACTGAAATCTTCGAAAGACTCACTGTAACAACATAAAACAGTTATATTCCTCAAAATGCACATACTTTGTGGTCGGAGTGAAAAATAAAAAAAAAAACAACTCAAAATTAATTCGGCAGGTATGTCTGCCTTCCAAGAATATTTAAGTAACGGTCATGTCAATTACTTTTGCATGCCCCCCTAAAAAAATCAAATGCCTAAATGTCAATCTAAACAGGGGATGGCCTTTCTCAGGTTGTGTATGTGTGTGTGTGTGTGAACGACATATAGATGTACACATAAACAAGATGTCTTGTGAAACACTATGCGGCCAACAAGTAAAAATTAAAAAAAATCTATTTTTAGCATATTGATCACAGTCAAGGTCACAAGATAATGACCATGGTGTCATTTGAAAGAACTAATCGGTGGAGTAGACGTATCTAAATATGAAGTCCCTATCTCCTATGGTTCAAAAGTTATGGCAAAAAGTGTAAAGAGATATTTTTAGCATATAGGTCACAGTCAAGGTCACAAGATCAGTTGACCTTGCCGTCGTTTTAAAGGACTTTTTCGGTGGGAGTATGCAATACCAAATATGAAGTCCCTATCTCCTATGCTTCAAAAGTTATGACAAACAGTGGAAAAAGCTATTTTCAGCATATAGGTCACAGTCAAAGTCACAAGGTCATCGACCATGGTGTCATTTGAAAGAACTTAATTGGTGGATTATGCATACCAAATATGAAGTCCCTATCTTCTATGGTTCAAAAGTTATGGCAAAAAGTGTAAAAAGCTATTTTTAGCATATAGGTCACAGTCAAGGTCACAAGATCATTGACCTTGCTGTAGTTTGAAAGGACTTTATGGTGGTGTATGCATACCAAATATGAAGTCCCTATCTCCTATGCTTCAAAAGTTATGACAAACAGTGGGAAAAAGCTATTTTTAGCATATAGGTCACAGTCAAGGTCACAAACTCACTGAGCTTGGTGTCATTTTAAAAAGCTTCATTAGTGGAGTATGCATACCAAATATGAAGTCTCTATCTCTTATTGTTCAAAAGTTATGGCGAAGGTTAAAGTTGACAACAGACAAACAGACAAACAGATAAACAGACAAACAGACAAACAGACAGGACAAAAACAATATACGCCCGGGATCTATCGACCCGGGCGCATAAAAATTGTATTCTGATTAATTGCTATTAAGATTTGAAGTAAATAATTACCGTACCTCAAATTACTTAGTTTAGATTTAAGATTAGTACCAAAATAATCAGTTATAATTGACAAATGAATTTTGCGACGCAAACTAACTGCAGACTATATATAGGACTTTGTATAGAATGTACATTAGAACTACATGTTGATAGACAATTCACAATTATAGCTTATGAACAGCAGTTATAATACTTTAACCCCCCACCCCCTTTTCAGCTGCAAATACCAAATAACTTCTCTTGCCACTTGTGATATTTTGCCTGACCAAAATGAGATCAGCATGGACTAAGTGTATAGATGTGCTAGTCTGTACCAAGTAATGACATTTTGTTTACTGTTGAGCTTTTATGGAGTTCATTTCTGTTTGGTGATGCATATTTCAATAAATGGGATTCGATGTATATCACTTGACTTGTGCACATCTTTGAACCGATGCAATAACCTTATTTCCAGGTATGGGTACGTTTACAGCATTCAAGGCAATTTCTCAATATGCATCAATTGCATCTTTAGGACCTGCAAATCAAAGACCTTGGTAGTTTTGTTCCATACAAATGCTTTAATTTCAAAATGTGTTTGCAGATTTTACTGCTTTTTATTTCAAGTTTATTCTGCATAAATTGGCGCACTGTAAAAATACGTACTCATGCATCTAAATTTCTCTTCCACACTTGCATTTTTTTCTTTTGATTCAAATCTATAATTATTCAGAAATATGATTATTATGTTGTTTATTGTGGTTTTGAAATGTCTTGATCACCTCACGTGTTCTCATAAGCTTTACCATCGGAGATGTGCACAAGTCGATACCCAAGCCAAATAATAATTCAAGTGTAACGTCCGCATTGGGGTATACATCCTTTCAATGAGACAAGGTATCTGAAAGAAATATGGCGGAATACGGCTATAGTTGGTTTAAAACAAGTCGTACATAGATGAAAATTTTGCGTTTTTAAGAATTCATGTCAGCTTTACTTTTAAAAACCTAACAAAAGATACAACATTGTTTTGGTTTCAATACAGAATTCTACATAGAACAATTGGTGTGAATAAATATTTGTTTTTTTTTTTGATAATCAGCAGTGTGCACTGTGCTCACAGGAACATGAGACCCTAAAACACTTATTTTTTTAATCATGTGATTTTGTCAAAATAATCTGGTCATCCTTAGAAGATTGGATCTGGTAGAACATTGCAAATTAATAAACAAAATATAATCCTCTGTACTACAGACATTGATGTGGGTTTGAATATTATTATTGTATTAGCAAAAAAATATATCTTTCAAACATCAAGAAAAAAGTGTACTATCTTATTTAATGATTTATCATTGTACCTCAATAATTATTTTGTTATAGACAAAAATTATATGATGTTGAACAATTTGAAAAAAGAAGGTCATTGAAAAATTGGAAATGTCTTTTTCAAAGTAATGATTAACCATGGCAACATCATTCATCGAAATCAAAATCCAATGCACTATTTTATGTATCTTAGTGTAATCTACTTGTGTGCCAAGTAATATTGAAATCAAATCAAAACTGTAGGAAGAGTAGCGTTTTAAAGAAATTTCAAAGAAAATTCTATTTTAAGTAACCATGGCAACACCGTTCATCAAAATAAAAAACGATGCACTATTTTATGTATCTTAGTGTATTCTACTTGTGTGATAGTAATATTGAAATCAGACCAAAACTTAAGAAGGAGTAGCATTTTAAAGGAATTTCACAGAAAATTCTATTTTTTGTAACCATGGCAACACCGTTCAACGAAATAAAAAACCGATGCTTTATTTAATGTATCTTAGTGTAGTCTACTTGTGTGTTACTTAATATTGAAATCAGACCAAAACTGTAGAAGGAGTAGCATTTTAAAGGAATTTCAAAGAAAATTCTATTTTTAGTAACCATGGCAACACCGTTCATCGAAATCAAAAACCGATGCACTATTTTATGTATCTTAGTGTAGTCTACTTGTGTGCCAAGTAATATTAAAATCAAATCAAAACTGTAGGGGAGTAGCGTTTTAAAGGAATTTCAAAGAAAATTCTATTTTTAGTAACCATGGCAACACTGTTCATCAAAATCAAAAACCGATGCACTATTTTATGTATCTTAGTGTAGTCTACTTGTGAGCCAAGTTATATTGAAATCAGACCAAATCTGTAGGAGGAGTAGCGTTTTGAAAAATTGTTCACAGACAGACGGACAGCTAGACAGACAGACGGACGGACGACGGACACCTTACTATCGCATAAGCTCTTCTGGTCTCTGACCAGTAGAGCTAAAAAATAGTGATGCAGTTGAATTGCTCTCATCTTTATGTAACAGCATATTAGGTTTGAAAAAAATATCTTGAATGGTATCTTTAAAACTAAGCAAAACAATAAATAAAGATAAGTAAGGTCAAAGGAAAGGTCAAGGTCAAAAATGTTGATGCAGTTGCATAGCTCTCATCAGTATGTATCAAAATGTGAAGTTTGATTACACCATCTTGAATGGTATGTTTAAAACTGAGCTAAACACTAATTTAAGAAAGTGAGGTCAAAGGTTAAAGGAAAGATCAAAGTAAAAAATAGTGATGCAGTTGAATTGCTCTCATCTTTATGTAACAGCATATTAAGTTTGATAAAAATATCTTGAATGGTATCTTTAAAACTAAGCAAAACACTTACTTTAAAGATAAGTAAGGTCAAACCATGTGAAGTTTGATAACACCATCTTGAATGGTATGTTTAAAACAGAGCAAATCACTAATTTAAGAAAAGTGAGGTCAAGGTCAAAGGAAAGGTAAAAAAATTTTGATGCATTTGCATAGCTCTCATCAATATCTATCAGCATATGAAGTTTGATGAAGATATCTTGGATAGTTTGTTTGAAACTAACCTTTGAACAGAGCTAAATGCAAAATTTGACGGAAAGACAGAAGACGGACATGACAAACACTATATGTCCCGGCCATATTCATGGTTGGGCATAAAATCATCATTTAAAAAAACCATATTTTCTTTTTCATGTGTACAAACTAATTCATTCGTATTTTTCTGAAGATCGTTTTTTATAAAACGTTGCAATTGTGAATTTATGTTTAATTTTCAATACACAAATAGGCTTTCCTTCTTTTTATTTATAAACAAAGTTAAATTGGAATTATTATATATTACCTTTCAAAGACTTTGCTTCATCACATAATTCAAATATTTCCTCATGCACCTCCAATCCCTCAGTAGACTTAACTTCCATTATCTCTTCTTCACGACACCTGAGCAGACGTTTAAGTAGCGTGGTTTTCCCCGCCCCAGCACATCCTACAATCATCCCCCGGGCGTGGTGGACTGTCCGTGTTCCTGTCTTAGCGTACTCCACATACCGCTCTCTGGCCTCCTGGTCCCACTCTAGTACTTCTGTAGGGACTCCCACTGAAATATAAAATAATAACCATCATAAGTTAATTAATAAAGTAATAAAAAAGAAAAAAAAAACAACTCTGGTCCCATTCCAGGACTTCTTCAGCAACTCCCACTGTATTTTTAAAAAAATCAAAGATCAGAACACAAATAAAAATAATTTTTGGATGATTTAATTTTCATTGATAAGTAGAGACATGAAATTAATTTCACCCTTAACAGTACATCTCAAGGTTCCATTGCCATTTCGTTGAATCATTGCTCATTTTTCCTACAAATTGACTTGTGGTATGTACACAAAGAAATTTAAAATATTATATCAAAAACTTTCTGTTTATTATACACTCAATTTAAGTATACATGTATCAATGAGGGAGATAGCAAGATTCCAGTTCCGAAATAGTCCTGCATGCTCTTGGGGAACTGGAATCTTGCCAACTTCCTCAATGAAATACTTTTTGTCTTTTATTTCACCGATACAAAAATAGAGGATTGCCAATGACAAGTAATATGCTCTTGGAGCGGGAATGATCTCACTTGACTAACACACAGGGATTAATAAAAGGTAGTCTAATAACATTTTATACAGACATAAAAGTAAAATCGATAGGATTCCGGATAACCGGGAATTAGCTTCGGAAGCACGGAGTAGCTTTTTTAACCAATGCACGGGGATTAGGACATTCTCAGTTATTTCTAGGGAATGATTCACATTTTACTATAATTAAATTTTTATAGAGGGGAAATCAGTAGAGGTATAATAAACAAGAGGCCAAAGGGCCTTGAATCGCTCTTCTGATAAATTGTACAATCAATCACTTCTGTTAGAAGCCTTCAACTCTATTAGAATCATAAGACCCAAAATGCATCAACTTTGATAATATTTAGCCAGTTAAGAATGAAGATATTATAATATAATTATAAAATACATAAGTAGGTCACAGTGACCTACCTTTTGATTGAAATTTTCTGAGGACTCAAGATACATTAATTGACAAAGACTGATGATTCTAATTAAATAAAGTACCTGAGATATTCAAAAGTAGGTCACCATGACCTACTTTTTGGTCAACATTCTCTGAAAACCCAAGATGCATCATCTGACAAAGTTTGACGATTCTAAGCCAATAAGTACATGTACCAATTATAATTAAATATAGCCATAAAATGTCAAAAGTAGGTAATGGTGACCTACTTTTTGGTCGACGTTATCCAAAAACCAAAGATGCTTAAACTGACAAAATTAGATGATTCTAGGCCAATAAGTACCTGAGATATTCAAAAGTAACTCACTGTTACCTACTTCTTGTTGGACATTCAATGACATCCTAAGATGCCTCAACTGACAAAGTTTGATGATTCTGAGCCAACAAGTACCAGATATAATTAAATATAGCCATAAAATGTCAAAAGTAGGTCACATTGACCTACCTTTTGGTCAACGTTCTCAGAAAACCCAAGATGCCTCAACTGACAAAGTTTGATGATTCTAAGCTAATACATACCTGAGATATTCAAAAGTAGGTCACTGTGACCTACTTTTTGGTTGACTATCTCCGAAAATCCAAGATGCCTCAACTGACAAAGTTTGATGATTTTAGGTCAATATGTACCAGAGATACTTAATTATAGCCACAAAATGTCAAAAGTTGGTCACCATGACCTACTTTTTGGTCGTCACTCTCCGAAAACCCAAGATGCATCAACTCACAAAGTTTGATGATTCTAAGCCAATAAGTACCAGAGATACTTAAATAAAGCCATGAAATGTCAAAAGTAGGTCACCGTGACCTACTTTTTGGTCGTCACTCTCCGAAAACCAAATATGCATCGACTCACAAAGTTTGATGATTCTAAGCCAATGAATACTTAAGATACTTAAATGCAGCCATAAAATGTCGACATTTTTCAAAGACCCAACCCTTACAGAAATCAAAGGCCTGAAGGGCCTGCGAGTTGACTCGCTCGAGTCAATTGAGCTTTTTCATACATATGTGCACCATACCTTAATATATTTGGTTTATTTTGCATCTTAAGAGATTGAATATTATATGTCAGATCCATGATCGGTTCATAAATAGAGTGTATATTACTTTTCCACTATATATACAGGTTGGCACTAATGGGCTTCCGTATTATTTTGACTGGCTTCTATAATGAATTTCAGCACATTAGCTGAAGTGGTCAGTGTTATAGGATAATTAGGTTAAAGATTCCCACAGCAAATCTGGATTCTAAAAATAGATTTTCAACAACAACTAGCTGCAGCTAATGAGAGCAGCAGGTGTTTGTGTTAGGGAGTATTCTAGGTCAATTATAAATAAACTTCAGATGGGAAGATTAGATCCGCCTAACATGCTTGAACAATATATTCATACGCAGTAATTTTACATCATACAGATATTTAATCAGAAATTTCTTTAAAAGCATATGAGGCAAAAATAATGTTACAGTATGAAATTTTATACAGTTTTTACCTCTTAAGTTTATACAATCACCCAAACCAAAGCATTTTTTGCTAGAACTATTATATTTGGCGTATGGGTCACCTTGATGAATGCGTGAAAAATTTTACATCTCTGAAACAGCTATGTCAACAGGGAGTAGGTCGCTACGCGAGCCAACTCAAAAACTAATAGAAACTTATAAGTGTTTTATAATCCACTTATTAGTAACTTATAAGTCACATATAAATTTTGAAATTTACTTATAAGTGTACTATAAGTCAAAGTAAGTATAAGTGAGGAATGGATTTCATTAATACTTCACTTATAAGTAAAGATGAGCTACAAATCAGTGAATATTTCACTTATACCTCACTTATAAGTGAAGATCAGTATGGTATGAGCAAAGTATAAGTGTGGACTTAGAATTTTTACCCTATACTAGGGCTGCCACGGTTCAGACATTTTTCGGTTCGGTTCGGTTCAGAAAATAAATTCTCGGTTTTCGGTTTTTTCGGTTCGGTTTTCATTTTGAGAATTTAAATAAAACATCTTTATATATATCAAAGGATAATAAAGGATTAAGGACATTGTAGAAAGTACTATTTTGCTGACACAAATTTCTATCCATTTTATTCAACAGAACAAGTTGTTAAATGTAACAAAAAATAACAAAGTAATAAACTTCTTGTTTAGAATAAAATAAATATAGTTATTGACTAGAGTTATCTTGTTTACAACAATTGAAACATTCAAAACGTGAAGTTTTGGTTTTCCTTCAACATGTGTATGCCATGATTAAATGTCTTCGATGTTACCTGTATTTTCATTGGTTAAAGAACCCTTCATTGAAATAAACAACCAATCACAACGCGTGTTGCAAGCAAATTATTATTATATAAAAGATAAAAAAACCGAACCGAATTCCGGAAAACCTGACTCGAACCGAACCGAATGCCATTTCGGAGCGGTTAACCGAGTTTTCGGTTAACCGTGACAGCCCTACCCTATACTAGACTTCTCTCAAGAAGCACTATGGGTATTCAAGGTAGCTAATCAGAGAGTTTGTCTCTGCAGAGATCAGCAACAAGAATTTGAAACCAAGTTTGTGTCTGTGAAAGGATGTTGGAGATTTTAGATTTATTCTGAGTATACCTTCACATCATGTACAACAAGTAGGTTCTATTTACATCATCTCTCTATTTTAACTTCCTTTGCATGAAATTTTGAATCAATTGACTCAGTTGCTTTCAGATTTCATAAATTTGAAGAAGCCTCAAGGTCATTAAATCTTGTTGCCTTTTTGTTCAACATTCTTGTTTGTAATGTTATGTTTGCATCATCAAAGAAATGTCATATGAAAGTGATTAATTTCCATAAAACTTTTACTTGATTATTTCATCTAAAGTGCAGATACATGTGTAAATGTAAAAAATAGCTTTGAACATATCATGCAACCCCTGCATGGTTGGAAGTTCTGTTCTAAATTAAGATCTTACAGGTAGTGTTGTACTTCATTTATAAGTCACTTATAGATGACTAATACTTGATACAGTATGAAGGGTTAATGCTTGACTTATAAGTCACTTATAGTCACTTATAAGTGACTATACTTGCATAAAGCATAAGTGGCTAATACTGGCTTATAAGTCACTTATAGGTCAAGCAGCTCATTTGCATATAAAATCCTAATGAGTAACTTATTAGTCACTTATAAGTTAAATGTATCAGTGAAGTGTAGACCAGAATAAACAACTTATAAGTAAAAGAATAAATCACTTATAAGTCACTTATCAGAAATTTCTGTAAGGGAAGATGCATCTACAGACCAAATTTGATGGTTGTAGGTCTGAAGGCAATCAAAATATGTGTTTTAAACAATTTGAAAACAAATGTTGGCAAAATTCAAAAAGTAGGTCACAGTGACCTACTTTTTCATAAATATGTTTTAAGGTCCCGAGATGCATCAAAGTACAAGATTTGATGCTTCTAAACCTCCCAGTGTCTGAAATAATGGGATTTAATGTTTTTAAAGATAAGTCATACAAAAAGTAGGTCACGGTGACCTACTTATAAGTTGACATTGTTTGAGGACCCATGATGCATCAAATGACAAAGTTTGATGATCATAGGCCTTAAAGTGTCCAAAATATGCCTTCAAATCAATTTGAAAACAAATCCCCGCAAAATTTAAAAAGTAGGTCACTGTGATCTACTTTTGAATTAACATGATGTGAAGTCCTAAGATGCATCAACTTACAAGATTTGATGATCCTAGTCCTTATAGTAAGCAAAATATACAGCAAAACTCGGTTATAACGAAGTCACTGGGACCTATAAAATTACTTCGTTATATCCGTAATTCGTTATAACCGTACAAGAAATTCATTAAATTTATATCACTGGGGATCTAAGATGACTTCGTTATATCCGTAAATTCGCAATATCAGTGTTCGTACTAAACGAGTTTTGCTGTACATGTTTTTATTAATTGTAAATTTGGGTCAACTTTGAAGTGACCTTGAGACCATGCCCTTTGCCCCAGGGTAATTCCCCGTGCAAATTTTA